ACTTGCACACGAAAAATAAGTAATGTAGTCGATTGTCATAGCAAATATACGTTTTCTTCACCAACAACCTGACCAAAGAATTTGATATGGGAAAAGGGCTGCCCCCCCCTGAAATTGACATCTGTCCTGTGACCCAAGGGCACTCGTGGCAATGTGGTTGAGTGGTTAACGTGTCACGCTCACATTCTGCAATTTCACGGTTCGACTCCAGCTTGGGGTATTGATAAGACCTATGCGAGATCGAAACTGCATTCCACTCTGGATGAGAACAACTTTTGGGAAAGCAAGGCTATGTAAAATTTAATGGAAACGTCAGCTCTAGTCATAATTGTGGGAAAATTTTACTACCAGTCCTTCATCCCCTTAAATTAAATGGCGTGAATACATCTCATATTACTGATCTACTGCTAGTCCCGAAACTCTACTTACATACGAAACATAAGAGTAGACATAATAGATCTAATGAGAGAAGCACAGCAAAATAAAATTTGTATTTAAAACCTTAAGCAAAACCCTCTTCCAAATTGTCCAGAAAGCAAAATTGGGAAAAATTTTCTCAATAGCAAAATAATTTCATAAAGCTGCTAGATTTAAAGCAAACTTGTTTGCTACTAACAATTAGCTGAAAGAGTAAAACCATAATAAACTAAAAGTCACTTAAGAAAAGATTAACCGCATAAATTACAAGGTAATTGTGGATATTATTTAAGCTTAAATGTGATTAGTGGTTACCGAAAGGAAAAAATCCCTTATAGGACCATAAAAACGTTGTTTTGGTGATTATTAAGGCAGCAAAGTCGAAGCCTGTTTTCGTAAGCAATTATTTTAAAAATGCTATAGAATATTTCAAGAATGAGCCTTAAAAACTAAGGAGAATCGCCATGCGAAGGCAAGATCTAAGCAACTGTAAATATTATAGAAGTCGTTTGACCTCGTTTTCGCAATTTGATGATATTGGTAGGAAGGCCTAGAGGAGCGCACCTTGTCCGGAGTGCATAGTATGCATGATAATTCCGAGAGTTTGACCGTAGACGCGATACCTTCCCAGAAGTTTAGCAGGCATCGTCAGTGAGCCTTGCCATTCTAAGCACCACACCACAACTTATCAGAGACAAGTGAAGCTGATCTTTTGATCAATTGTCCATAATACCAAGTCTATGATTTCCTATGGCTTAGTGTCTTGTGTGCCAACCCACAAATATTGTGATTGTATGAGCTTAAGCAAAAGAAGTAGAATCACAACATTTGTGGGTTGGCACACAAGAGATTAGCGCATAGGAAGTCATAGACTTGGGAGTATGAATAGAAGCACGAAAGATGCGGCGGAGATTAGAGTTAGTTCGCCAACAGTAGACGTATTTGATCATATACGTGGTCCATGAAGTAAAGGTTTGACCATGAGAATTACTCGGACTCTTTAGCCTTAAGTTATTTTCCCAGCAAGCACGATAATTCTGATTTTTAGAGGCATATTCAGCAAGGCAGAAGTATGCTTGCCATCAAAAACTTGAGACAGTACGGAAAATAACCCTTCGAGTTGTACAGATAGGGTGACAGGGGTCGAATGAAATACCTGAACCAGGAAGGTAGGACGCGGATCCTACGGGGCAAGAGAGACTCGGATTAAACCTATGGGGAAAGGATTACGGAATAATGTCAGACTGATCAGCATTCCAAGCACAAGGGTAAGGAGAGTGAGCTGGTGAGAAAGACAGTGTAGAGTGTGAAGAGTTCTCATGAAATTCGCTCAAAAGGGTACACCATAACACATTTAAATAAGAAATTGTGATAGTGAGGGCTTGGTACGAGGATATAGGATTGGTGAACAGCCCAATGCAGGAGATACCACGATTTTTTAGCGGATAATTGTTCAAAGGATCGCCTTCACCTGTCTCCGACGATTTGTAGTGTGGTGCTAAGAATGGAAAAGCTCACTGACGATGCCGGCGAAGCGTCTGGGAATGTACCAAACCCACGGTCGGACTCTGAAAATTATCAAGCTTACTATGGACTCCTGACTAGGCAAGTTCCTTTAGGTCTTGCTACCAATATGACCAAGGTCAAGCAACTTTTTTACAACGAAAAGAAACTGCGACCATACAAAAGGCCACATCCTCTTGGTCTTGATACCTTGTATATAATAGTTTCGATGTTGCAAAATCTCTTAACTCAGTGCCAGGGGATAAGTTATGTAAGATGTATAAGATGGTTATCTCTAAATTCTAGTTTCGAACGAAAAATCATGAAATAAGGACGAGAAAAGGACTTAACTTGGCGAAGGCATGCATGCATGCATACACTGCCAAAAATAGAAAACATTCGAAATCGTTATGCAAAGTGAAGGAAGTGTAAACGACTATTTATAAGGGAAGTAAGCCTTTTGATCTGACCGAGATTCATAACGATACCAGAATGTTGTGATCTTAGAGTTGTTGTGCGGCGAGGAAATTCAAAAATTCTCACATAATAGATTCAGAAGAATATTTCCCTTGTCTGTCCATTTCTGCAGCCGCCATCTGAGCATCTAAACCGAAACTATTTTGGGTGAGTTTCTTGGCGTCAAAAGTGGAATCTGGAGTCCCAATCAGAGAAGGAAGTGCAAGAGAGAGGGGCGACAGGGAGCATTGTGTGGCTGGAGGTAAGTTGGCTGATGAGTCTAGAGAAGTAGATTCTCGAGAAGTGATGGAGCTGATAAAATCGGCTGAATCGCATGTTTTGGAAGAAGGAAAGCCCGAGAAGGAGGTACTGGGGGGAAAATTAAGGCAGCTCAAGCCAGTGACCGAAACAATAGGTGATAAACAGCTAAGTGGACAGACTGATGAAACAAGATGAAGCTTAGGTGAGTCGACGGGTTTCAGATGAGTTTTTGAGGATTGGAACTCTTCCTGTCTTCCTGTCTCTGTCTTAGTTTGCCTTTCATTTCCCTTCGCTTCCAGGATAGCAAGTTCTTTTTCTACATCACCGAATTCGTCAGTCGACGGAGGCGTTAAGCAACCTGGAAGCAACATTTGGAGGCCAGCCGAAAACGCAGGTCGTACATCCAAAGACGACTGATTGAGAGTGGAAGATGAAAGGTCCGACCCATGGACTCCAGTAGAGATTGCTGAAGTAAAAGACAAGTATGAATTGGCAAATGAAATCTTAAATATTTTTTTTGCAAAGTAACTCAAGATCATCCACGTTGAAGAAAAGAATGAAGAATTTACCACATTCTCTATTTTGATGATGGCGGAGTCTTTTGAAAAATCGATCTATCAAAACCCTAGTCGGACAAGATTCCTTGCAAATGGCAATTAACTAATCCATCTTATCTAGTTTGCCAATATCTTAGTGTATACTTTCTTAAGAGAGAAGAGAGCCACAAACCACAAAGTCACACAGCTGCGGCCACATTTAAATAGTC